CTTCCCTCTGAGGGTGACGGAGCACTGGAACAGGCTGCCCAGGGAGGTTGTGGAGTCCCGTTCTCTGGAGATATTCAAGACCTGCCTGGACGCGGTCCTGTGCAGCTTGCTGTAGGTGACCCTGCTTCGGGAGGGGAGTTGGACTAGATGACTCACAGAGGTCCCCTGCAACCCCGAACATTCTGTGATTCTGTGGAAGGGTCTCTGAGCAACCTCTGATTAAAGATGTCCCTGCTCACTGCAGGGGGGTTGGGCTAGATGATGTCTAAAAGTCCCTTCCAACGCAAATCATTCTATAATTCTAATATTTTAAAATACATTTCCTATTTTGACTGAGCCCCATGTATGTATGGGCTACCTTACAACATTATTAAGGTAGACTGGAGAAGTAATGTCTGATGTTACCATTGAGATATCTCTGAAAGTTGTTAAGCACTTAAATTTATTTTCCTTTTTTCCCCCATCCCTTTTGGTCTGTGTTCAGCAGTTACTCGGCTAGAATAGCTATTCAGAATTAGTCTTAAATTACACTTCTTCAGTTCAGTAGCTGATTCAGTCTCTCTTCATGAAGTGGGAAAGAATTTCCTTATTCGGGTGTGCTAAGTATGAAGTTTGGTATATTTGTTAATGTATGTATTTCTGTCAAGTTGCTGATTGTGTTGGTTGCTCAACATGCTGCTTGCATTTGGCAAGGGAATTACTTTTTACTTTAAAAGGAGGCAATAAATACGTGCGTTGGTCGGCATAAAGGGACACATAAGAGACAATAATTATCTGGAATTTGTAAAATTGGTAAGAATACTCAAGTAAGAATCCAATGGGACCTCAGAAAAAAGCTACCTTTTGGAGGAGAGAACAATTTGCAGAGAGGGAAAATCTCCCCTCTTGCTCTGAGGTCTGGGTAGTGTAATCTTCATCTGTCTATCTGAAGTTCTAATTGGTGACGTACTTCTACTGAAATTGCAGGCATATAGCCTTGGAATAATATAAATAAGATATTTCTTTTGAATAAACAGTCCTAAACTGGGAGTTTCGTTTGGACCCAAGCTCATGGAAAGGGTTTAGTGGCAGGATCTGAAACAGTTGGAATCTACAGAACTTTTCGTGTTCGCTAAAAAGAGAAGGTGGTTACACAACTAGCTAATGTCCCAAGTGAAAACCAAAGTTACTTTCTGGGCTTTGCTATGTGGTGGAACAAATGAAAATGGGAAAGATGCAGAGCCAGAATGAGCGCTGAACTATAACTCTCCTGTTCTTTTAAAGCCGCTAATTAACAGCCGTATGGGATAAATATGAATTCCAATTACTTCAAACAAGGATCTTGGAAAACTTTTACCAGATCGGGATAAAACTTAGGTCTGGCATAAATTTATGGCATGGGAAAGTAAGAGATTGGGCAGCATAAAGGAGTGTTGTCTAGTGCACTAACTAACTGACTAAATTTGAAGTATATGTTGAATCTTAAATAGGTCTGTCTTCAAGTGTTCTCTGGGTTTTTTGCAGTCTTTTTATTTAGATTTAGAGTTGAGTGAGCTCTTACTCATTATTAAGAATAGAGTTAATGAAGAGTATAGGTACAGCAAAAGGAAGGAAACCCCGGAAAATATGCAGCCAATTATGCATTTTGCTTTTGTCATTGGAACTGTTTTACTTAGCACATGCAGTTAATATTTTCTCATGTCATGTAAGCTGTGAAATTTTTGTGTGTGCAAGAGCGAGTTACCATTGGCATTCAGTGGTTGCGTTACTTGTTATGGTCTTAAGATATTGTATATAATAGAAGGACTGAAAATGAAATACAATGGATAAAGTACAGAAAGCTTTCTTGTAGAACCATGCCATCACTAGCTTAGAGAGGAGTCAAACTGCTGTAAACATGGATATCATAAAAAGTGAAGTTTTTGTATTGAAGAGGATAGGTTATGACCATACAAATATGTTTCTAATAAATGCTTGGGAAAAAAGGCTCTGTGCACATGTGAAGATGTAATGTCCATACTTTTATCTGTTTTGGACAGGAAATAACAAGGGCTAACAAAGGATGGGCTCTTGACAGTGTAGTGCTGTGCAATGAGGTCACTAAATGGATGAAGGATGATATCACAAGCCCTCCTTTGGAAGGTGTCTATGTGTATGGACTGTATTTGGAAGGAGCTGGTTGGGACAGAAGAAACATGAGACTAACTGAGTCTAAGCCCAAGGTGCTCTCTGAGATGATGCCGGTTATAAGGATATATGCAGAGAATAACAGTAAGTAGCTGTATTTTAAAGGGTGTTATTTTGATAGAACTCAATGTAACTGTTATGGGTTTACATGGCAAGGTTTTGGTAGCGGGGGGAGGGGGGGCTATAGGGGTGGCTTCTGAGAGAAGCATCCCCCATGCCTGATAAAGCCAGTGCTAGCTGGCTCTAAGACAGACCCGCCACTGGCCGAGGCCAATTCAGTCAGCGACGGTGGTAGCGCCTCTGTGATAACGTATTTAAGAAAGGGAAGAAAAGAACTCTGCAGTGAAATGGCAGTTAGAGAGAGGAGTGAGACCATGTGAGAGAAACAACCCTGCAGACACCAAGGTCAGTGAAGAAGGAGGGGGGAGGAGGTACCTGAAATGTCGGAGTAGAGAGCCTTCCCTTGAAACTTGTGATGAAGACCATGGTGAGGCAGGCTGTCCCCCTGCAGTCCATGGAGGTCCATGATGGAGCAGATATCCACCTGTAGCCCATAGAATGGACCCCACCCTGGAGCAGGTGGATGCCTGAAGGAGCCTGGGAGCCTGTGCTGGAGCAGGCTTCTGCCAGGACCTGCAGACCCGTGGAGAGAGGAACCCACGCCGGAGCAGGTTTGCTGGCAGGGCTTGTGACCCCGTGGGGGATCCACGCTGGAGCAGCCTGTTCCCTAAGGGCCGCACCCCATGGAACCTTAACGCTGGAGCAGGGGAAGAGAGTGACGAGTCTCCCCCCTGAGGGACAAGCAGCAGCAGAGACAATGTGTGATGAACTGACTGTAACCCCCATTCCCCATCCCCCTGTGCCACTCAGGGGGGAGGAGGGAGAGAAACAGGAGTGAAGCTGAGCCCGGGAAGAAGGGAGGGGTGGGGGGAAGGTGTTTTAAGATCTGTTTTTATTTCTTATTTTCCCACTCTGTTTTGATTGGTGATGAATTAAACTCGCTTTTCTCCCCAAGTTCAGTGACAGTAATTGGTGAGTGATCTCTCCCTGTCTTGTCTCGACCTTTGAGCTTTTCATCATGTTTTCTCTCCCCTGTCCAGCTGAGGAGGGGGAGTGAGAGAGCAGTTTTGGTGGGCACCTGACATTTATCCAGGCCAAACCAAGACAGTAACTTTTTATTCAACTGCATGGAAGTCTTTTAGGCTTTAGGGATTTCATGAGGCTGTAGCTATTGGTTGTATGCATACTGAATCTTTTTCAACAGGGGAGACTTCCCAGTCTTCCGTACAAAATGAGTTTTCAGCCTTCCTTGGTAATTGATAACAGGCACTTCTTTTTCTAGTATTCAGATAGATCTCTACCTTCTGGTCTTAATAGTGTTAATGACTTTTAAAACCCATTACAGATGAGCTGTTCTATGCCTCCTCTGACAAATATGCTTGCATTCAGTCTTCCATTGTCAATACATATCCTAGTAAAGAGGGAAAGTGAGGTGATGGAAGATGTTTTGTCTCTGAGGCAGAAAAGGACTGGAAGAATGGAAAGGAAACTTAATAGTGCTGTTTTGTGAAAATGTATAATTTAGCTTAATGTTGGGGGTTTTTTGTGTATAAAATAGGAAATGCTGTTGAATAGAGTTATAAAACAGAACAGAGCTGACCACTGTTGAAAGTAAAATTGGAAACTTCTGTTGAAAAGCATTCCACCTCCAAAAGCAAAGCCTGCTTACATGGTATTTTGCCAGGATTTTGTATAGCTAATCTTCTTATAAGAGGCATGATCACTGCGAAAGCAGACAAGATGCTAAATAATGAACACTGAAGTATTAAATGCGACTACACTACTGTTCTAATTCTGCAGTGAAGTAGTTGACAATTCATACTCTGAAATTCTAAATGCATTTCAAAACAGCTTGTTTAAAATAGGGCATTGTTACTTTTGACACATTAATAATATATTGATAGCAAGTAATGTTCAGTGGGCAGACTGAACTAATAATAACACTAATCATGCTAGAGTGTCCATTTACATTTCTTGCTACATCCAGTTCCTAGGTGCTGATATTAAACCTTAAACCTACAGGAATTTCAGGCTATATGTGGCCTTCAGCTGGCAATAACACAGTAGCAAACAGTGTGAGAATTGAGTAAGTTTTCTTTGGTGGTGATGGAGAGCTATGCACTATTGAACTTCTATTCAATTTTACATTTGCCTTATGCCCAGTCCCTCATTGCTTTTTATGTCTCTTCTGTCTTTTCAGCTGTGAAAGATCCACGTCTGTATTCATGTCCAGTCTACAAAAAGACCATTCGAACAGATATGAATTACATTGCGGCTGTGGATCTTAGAACCCTTCAGCCTCCAGAGCACTGGGTGTTGCGTGGGGTAGCACTTCTGTGTGATGTCAAGTAATGTTAAAGAAAAAGGTTTCTAAGAGTTCTTTTCTGTTTTTAAGTGTAAACATCAATAGTATATATAGTAACATAGTTAACTACAATGGATCACTTCTAAAAGCATTTTTTTCTAGGGCATAGATTCCATTATGGTATTTTTAGAAAATGATTCTCAATAAACCTCTACAATAGGCTTATAAATGCGGAGTCTTAGAGTGATCTTATGTTTGGTAAATAGATAGAAGTACTTCCTTTCATATCTTGACAAATCATGACAAATATTTAGTGTTCCTATCTCACTATCGTGTGCTTATTTTTACCTTGAATAAAGATTGACTTGAACATCGTTACTCTTCAGTGGTGAATATCCTTGTATTGGGGCTTACCTTCAAGTAGCTAAATACAAAGATTTTTTTTTTGGGGATGTATGTCTGCGGAAAGCTAAGCCTAGTTGCTCATTCATATTAGTTAATATTCCTCAAGATGATGTTCTGAGATTTACCTCCTAGCTGATAGTTTCTAGTTTGCTTGCTGTCTAAATAAGGAATGTGAGATTGGAAAAATGTCACACCTATTTCACAATTTGGAGAAAAATTTCATTGTGTTATGTAGAAAAACAAGCATTTGACAGCTGCCAGAATTCCTTACTATCTGGTTCATGATTTATAAGTATGTAATGGATAGGAAGAAAATAGTTCCATAAGAATGCTTGGATATTTTTTTCATGTGCTGCTACACCAGATTTGAGTCAACCTTCATCAAAGTTATTAGTTTTATGACATCAATTTTAGCTTTGCTTCTGCTCTAATTTTGCAATGTTGTGATTATATATTGTTTTTTTTTTTTTCTCCCTTTCTCCTTTTTTACTTATGTGCTGCAGTCTTTTTGGTGTCTGAGCTAGATAGGAAACTTTTCGTGTACGAGTCTATCTTGAGAGAGAACTGTTAGCAGCTCCCTTTAGTTAAACACTATCAGCTTCACACGTCAAGCACACTTATTTAATCATCAAAAAGCCAGCGTACTTTTGTTGCTGAGTCCAATAGGTCCTGTGCCTTGGTGGTCCACTAGTCATTCACAATAACAGGTGCTGCAGAATAGAAAGCAGAAAGAACCATTACTTCTGGTGCATCTGTCATACATAAATGTTGCAATGGAGAAACTGTTTTCAATTTCATGCCAAATCAATACATGGAATTTGGAGGGTGCATTAATTAGTTTATTAATAAACATGCTAAATATATCTATTGCCTAAAGCTAATATTTAAAGAAATAAAAAATATTTGTTAGATGATAGGATAATTGTCTTTGTATTTTACTGGAGTCTTCAGTATTCATTTCTACGGTAAAACCAGCTATGAAACTTAGGTGGAATATTGATTCTGTTTGAAACTCTAGTTGTAGAGGTCTTGCCATTGTCTTTCCATCTTGGAATTATTCTTTTTTCTTTTTTTTGTTCTTTTTTCTTTTAAATAACTCAGTGAAACAAATGAAATGTATGAAAATCTCCTTTAGGAAATGTTTTAAATTTAGAAATGGCCATAAATAAATGTAAGATGGGAGTGTTGAATTGTTCTTTATTGGACTTTGGAGCAACATGCTCAAACTTCCAGGAGATCCTCCAGATGCTCATTGGCATTCTAAGTTGTTGTGGACTTGTGTCTTTCACCAAGACCTTCCTCTCTGAAGGAGATGCACATATTTTGTCCTTGTGCAAGTCATTCACACTGAGAATTTTCAAGTCACATACACATGAAATGCCACCTTGCAAAGAGTGGTTTTCTTGTACCATTATTGCTGTAGACACAGTGGAGATGTCAAACCCCATGGTAATTCTCAGTGAGTGAACTGTGCACCTTTTTTCTCAGAGTGTGATTTTTCCTATGAGGGTGGTGAGGAAAAGTGTAGTTCCCCAAGTAAATACACACTGGTGATCCTTGTTATGCCAAAGACTGTTAGATGTTGGCAGTCACTGTTGTTTCTGTTCTGTTAGCTCCATTTCTTAAGAAGTTTAG